AAGGAAAGTTTCCATAAAGGACCTGAAGTCGTGTTTCTTGGTGTTGGCCACCCGAAGAGCCGCCAGCTTCTCTTCTCGTGCATCCTTACAGTGGACTCGGGCAAGACACAGAGCAACATCTGCACCACACCGAGCCGAGGACTTCTTCCATTCCTGCACTCGACCAGGGATCGTGTTCAACCGGGCCATCAGCGACTCAAGATCATTCTGAAGTGTCTCCTCAGGCCAGAGTGTTGAGTCGATGCGAGATGTGGCAGCCTTCAGTCTTGCGAGATAGTCCACGACAGCTGCAACACGGGACTCCAGTCGGAGAACATCCATGGCAACTTCATCGTTCACCGGAGAATTGACGGGGTCGAGGTTTGGCTCCAGCCGGCTAGTTTCTTCTTCAAAGTTTTGACAAAATTCTGCAAGGGTGATCACTAAGTCAAGGGGATGGTCGAATGGAAAAATCACAATTGGAAATGTCTGCCAAGCATAGAGGTTTACCTTCAAGCATAAGAAACAGCTTCTTGGCAAGTCCACTCAGGAAGGCCTCCAGATCAGTTTTCTTCCCAGTCAATCTGGTGACTTGGTCGGTCAGGGCAGCTTTATCAGTTTTCAGTCGACTGACCTCCTTGTTGGCAATCCCAAGAGCAGCTTTCAGATTGGTATTGTCTTGTTCGAGCTTGGTGACTGAAGCTAACTTCTCGTCAGCAAGCTTGATCTTCTCAGCTAGCTCAAGGTCTTTCTTCTGTTGGGCCTCCCTTACCTTACCTGCAAGTTACAGCAAGATCAGATTTTGAAACAAGCAAGGGGAAAAGCAGTCGTCAGGGTCTCACCAAACATACCTTCGGTCTCCTCCTTTGCCTTTGTCAGCTTCTCCTGAACCAGCTTCAAGCTCAGCTCGACTTGAGTATGCTTGTGTTCCAGCTCTGAGTAGCGAGCCACAAGATCACAAGAGTTCTGCGAAGAACCAATCGACTAAATGTCAAATATAATTCACTTCCGAGTGAAAAAGGGAAAAACTCACGTTTCTAAGACTACAGCCGAATACAAGCATTCGACCGTAGTCTCGGGGACTACACCCAGTGGGTGCACTCAGCGTGCCCCCACTAATCCTGTTGAAGACAAAGTCGACCAGTCGACCAGTCGACCTCAAAAAAAAAGTGCGAGATGCTTTCTCTAAGACTGTGATCAACTGCAAGCAGTCGACCACAGTCTCGGGGACTACACCCAGTGGGTGCACTCAGCGTGCCCCCACCGGTTTGTGAAATCCAGTCGACATAGTCGACTGACAGAAAGACTGAAATTATAAAGCCTAAGGCCGACTGCCAGCAGTCGACCTTAGCCTTGGGGACTACACCCAGCGGGTGCACTCAGCGTGCCCCCGCTAATACGGAGCTCAATCGACAACACCCAGTGGGTGACTACTATAAATTCTGGAAAGGAAAAGTTTTTGACAGCATATCCAACAGAACAAACGGTGGTCGACTGACCTGAACATTGCTTTGGAGGGCAGAACTGGCGTCATAAGCTGCCTGGCTCGCGTCCCGGATGGTCTTCAGCTGCTCCATCATGAGTCCCGCCTGGCGTATCGCCTCCTTCACTGCGCCAGCTTGGTCCTCTGGGACGTGGTGCGTCGTGAAGAGGGAGGGCTGCTGAGCACTCGTTAGTGGATTTGCGAAGGACACCGTGTGTCGAGTGGTGTTCTCTTCCTCCACAGTCAGAATCTCAGGCGCCGTCACATCCTGAGGCACCTTACTGGCGGACGCTTTCCGACTCCTCCTGCGCTTCAGCGGCTCTTCATCCTCATCATCATCAGGAAGATTGATAACAGTATTGGGTGGAGCTGCGGAGAAGAATCAGGATCAGAGATCGCGAGTCAGTCGACTAAGAACGGCGTTAAGAATACAGCACCTGGGTTCGAAGTTGCTGCGTCTTCCATCTCGTGGTCATCAGCCCGGGCCGAGTTTTCAGAAGTAGCAGCACTGCAACTCCAAAGGATCAGTCGACTAACTTCAGCGTCGACCAGAGACAAAGTTCACACAAAACGAGAAGATTCAAACAACACGATTACCCTGATATGGTAGGGATGGACACCTTCATCTTCGGCAGGAGCTTGATCGGCTTCGACGAGGCCGCCCTGGGCTGCTTCGGCGCCTTTTCAGTCGGCACCGGAGAGATGGTCCGAGGACGCTTGGTCGACTGAGTGGTGGTCGCAACCCCCTTACCACGTTCGGTTGAAGGGTCGTGGACAAGCTTCGACCGCCTTTCCGAGCGCGGTGGTACGACCTCCTCCTCCTCTTCCTCCTCGTCTTCAACGTCATCGTCATCGCCGTCGTCATCATCATCGTCGTCGTCATCCCCTGCAACGTCCGAGTCCCACTCCTCCTCTTCCTGGCTCTCACCCCCGCTCGCCTCACCCTCCTCAGTCGGAGTTTGTGCCCCATTGGGCATCGAGTACAGCTCAGTGAGAACCTAGCAGATATCAAGACAAGGATCAGTCGACCAGTCGGCAGGATAAACAGAAATGAGTGCGACAAGAACGCAGTGAAGGGCAGAGCAAATGTACCTTGTTTGGATCGCTGTTGTGGTCGAGTGGAGGAATTCTTCTGGCTCCGCGTGGGTTGTCCTTGTTTCCGGTAACGGCTACCATCCATCTTTCCAGAGTGACATCGTCGACTGCTTCTGGATGGACTCGAGTCTCGTCTTCGGTCCCACAGTACAACCACATGCAGTGGCTCCGGAACTGAAGAGGCTGGATGCGACGCCTGAGGAAGACCTCCAAGAGGTCCATGCCCGTCACTCCCTCCCGAACCAACTGCACCACGCGCTCCATCAACATCTTCACATCAGCTTTCTCCTCCGGAATCAACTTCAGAGAGGAGGGCTTGTTCACTCGGTCCATGGTAAACTGTGGGAGTCCACTCGACTGCCCCGGCGTCGACTGGTCCCGGCAGTAGAACCAGGTCGACTGCCAGCCTCTGACCTACTCGGGAAAGGTCATGGGCGGGAAGGTGCTCTTATTCCTCACCTGGATCCCCAGACCCCCACACATTTGGACGACTCGGGTTCTCTCATCACCTGGGCTCGCCTTCTTCACGGGTCTGAGAGCGACACGTGAATATATGTTTGAACAAACCCCAGTGCGGTCGACAGCCCAAGAAACCCTCACACATGGACACGAACGCAGCAAGATAGGCAATGGAGTTTGGGGTAAAGTGGTGGAGCTGCGCTCCGAAGAAATTCAAAAAGCCACGGAAGAAAACACTCGGCGGCAAGGAAAACCCACGATCAACATGGGTGGCCAAAAGCACACACTCACCCTCTTCTGGCTGAGGCTGCCATTCCTTCCCCGGAAGCCTCGCAGCTCCGTGAGGGATCAAGCCCTCGTTGGCCATGTCGAGGAGGTCATTCTCTGTGATGGTCGACTGGATCCAGTCTCCTTGGACCCAGCCCTTCGGCAGGCGGGATCTGGACGAGGACCCTCCGCGGCTGGTGGATCTCCCCTTCGCCTTCTCCGACGCCGACGCCTTCTTTGCACGCTCCAGCGCCGCCGTCTTCTCCTTGGCCATGGTCGTCGGCGAGATGCGCGAAGGGAAGTGGTGCGGGGGCGAGAGCGAGCACGCTGGGCGGGGAAGAAGGAAGCAGAGAGAGGGAGAGAATGCTGAGGCGCAGCACAGAAATCCTCGCCGGGCACATTTATAAGGTCCCTTCCGAGTGGATGACAGGTGGGCCCGTCGATCTAATCATATCTGGGAGCAGTTTTGCAGACGGGATACGTGGCGAAAAAGGCGGCGCGGAGATCGAGGCGTCTATGCCCCGTCCCATCCGAACGCCGCGGTCCGCCCCGCTTCGCGCGCGTCCCCAAATTTCGCATCCCGCGGAATCCGCGAACAGCAAATCAGTCTGTCAGACGCGGTGTTTCCGGCGATCCGTCGCTCGGAGATCGTCGAAGCCCGAAAGATCACTCGACGCAAAAATAGAATGGATCGAGTCGACTGAAGGCAATTTGCTCCCTGTCGACGAAGAGATTCTTTGGTCCAGGACAACGCACGACCAGAGCGCAAAGGTTAATCGGAAACAACATCAACTCCTTCCTCACTCGAAGCCTCAATCCATTCGGGGGCTAATGATGGGGTTATGTACCTAGGGTAGGGTCATGGACCTGATCCAAGTACCTTACCCAAGGACACCCTTAGAAGAAGTCACCTTCCAGTCGACCAACGAGGGACGCACTCGACTGACTTGAAGGACTCGACCACGAAGACTCACTCGACTACCGGAAAGTCAAGAGACACTCTGCACTGCAACGGCCTGTAATCAAGTAGGCTTTATGATAGTAAAGGCACTTTATATTGGGCGTTACCAGTAACGCCCCAGACTTAACTCACCTTAAACCCTCTCCTGCGTGGGCTGGCTGGGGTCCTGGCGCGCTCTATATAAGCCACCCCCCTCCACAGGCAGAAGGGTTCGGCACCGTGTAATTCATATACTCATAATCCACTCGACCGCCTCCGGGCTCCGAGACGTAGGGCTGTTACTTCCTCTGAGAAGGGCCTGAACTCGTACATCCTTTGTGCTTACAACCTCTCCATAGCTAGGACCTTGCCTCTCCATACCTACCCCCACTCTACTGTCAGGCTTAGAACCACGACATTGGCCATCTCAAAAAAGACGGGCACAGCACCACCCGGTCCACTTCTCACGAGACAAAGCGCAAAAGACGACGGCACCAAGCCACCAAGCAAAATTCCAGTTAGCTAGCGCTTGTGTTGCCCACTGATATCCAAACCTGGCGGCCATGGCTCCTTCCAAACCAACTAGCTAGCGCGCGCCATCGTTAATACCAACGCCCCGACATCCATAAGAAACCCTTTGTTTCTATCACCACCCTTGCCGCTAAAACCACGCACATCTTTGTACGCTTGTGCTCGCCATGCCCGTATTTATATCCAAGGTTAAGCCATGAGGTTTCCATCACTTGGTAAGTTGGTATCCCTCGGGTTTCTGCTACAATGAGCAAGCCACGGCCACTCCTCGAGCTGATGACGGCCGTGGACGCCGGCCTTGTAGCTGCCGCGGACGCCGACGGGGCTAGCGTGGCGTCCCGATGCCGTGGGAGCCGCAGCCGCAGCCGCCAGACCGCGCCGGTGGTGGTGGCGGTGCCGCAGACCCCGCCCGCGGAGACCGACGCCAGCTTCGAGTTCAGCGCCGCGATCAGCAACAGCTCGGCGTCGCCCGCCAGCATGGTGTTCTCGGCCGGCCAGCTCCGGGCGCACCAGTTCCCCGCCGTGCGGTCTTCACCGGGCGGCAGCGAGGTGGCGTCGCCGGTGCTGAGCTCATCCATGGGTGGCACGGAGTCGGCGTCGACCGGGAGCAAGAAGCGTGTCAGCTTCACGGCGGATGGTGCGGGGAAGACGGCGGCGAAGCCCGGCGGCTCGCAGAAGAAAGGCGGCGGCCTGCTGGGGTGCATGGGGTCAGCGTGCGGGTTGTCGCGTGACGAGGTCGTGGAGCCGACCATGAACGCTAATCGTAAGGTTGTGTGCGCTTGATATTTTTTTCCGTGTGTGTGTTTGATTGTTGAATTTAACTCTTTCAAAACGGGATTGCTAAATCCCGATTGACTGAGAATTAACGAAGTCTTGATTGATGTTATATTCGTCGGACCTTATTTGAAGACCTGTATAAAATTTTCTTGTAAATTATTTATTCTTTATTTTTATATGTTTTGTCACTTGATTGATTCATTCGACTAAGATCTAGTTGCACCTTTTCAGAAACCAGTAAGAGGTTAATCACTTGATGAGCTTGCTGATCGTCCCAATGCATTTTTTGCAAATCAATGAGCTTTATTGATCAAGGGCTTTGATTGCAATGTTGCCTTAGATCATCGGCGAGGAAAGGAGGGAGAGAGATATAATTAAGCCAAAGACATTTACGCCTTGACTCACTTGCTCCTTTTTTTTTGCGGGATGACTCACTTGCTCCTTTTTTTTTTCTCGAAGCATTCCTCCCAACAAACCTCAAATGAGAAAAAAAAAACTAAAATTTACACTCAATGCCTCAACTTCATGCGGAATAGCACTCAATTTTTATCCATCATACTCCCAAAACTTGATTACCTGTTGTGCGCCTGTGTCTATGTGCACGTGATCATGGCATTTGCTGCATTTTCATACCCGCTAAAATTTTGATTCTCCTGACTCCTCTTGAATTAACTCGCTAACTCTATGTACTAGAGCCTTAGTTCTTCATCACTGGCTTCAGCCCGCGGTTATCATGAATCCATGGATCATCCCATGGGTTGATCGATGAACCATCCCCTACCCTCTTAATCAGTCCAACATGCAGTGCCTCACCCTTTTAGTAATCTGATAGACAAGGAGTTGGGGTTAGTTAGCAACCTCCAAACTTGTTGAGTGAGCAAAGCCTGGTTAAAAGTGAACATCTCAAAAACCCGTTCTATCCTCCAATTTGGGAATAGCTATCTCTCTTCCACTTTCTCCCGTGCATCTTCCTTTTATTTTCATCTTTTTTTGCGGGATAAACTTTCAATCTATTCATCATCTTTCAAATCAATACAAAGAATACTAAAAGTAAAAATTACATCCAGGTCCATAGACCAACGACAACTACAAGCACTCGAGCGAGCCGAAGGCGCGCCGCCATCACCGTCCCTCCCACACTGGAGCTGGGCAAACCTTGTTGTAGTAGACCGTCGGGAAGTCGTTGTGCTAAGACCCAAAAGAAGCAACACATCAGAACAGTAATCGCCGTCGATGAAGAGAAGTGTAGAATAGAAGGATGCAATCTGAAGACACGTGAACACAGACTAACGAAGGCCAGATCCATGTGGATCCACCAAAGACAAACGCCGACCGAATCCCGCGAGATCCGCCAAAGATACATCTCCGCACGCCCTCTGACGATGCTAGACGCGCCACCAGAACGAAGACTAGGCAGGGAGAACCATATTCTAACTTTAGTAAGCCATCGCCGTCTCGTCTTCCTGAACAGAACACATACCCTAAACGCACACAGAAAAACCTTCAAAAATGAAGCAGTAGCCTTCCCGCCGGCAAGAGCTGAGATCCACCACGCCTTCATGCCCTAAGGCGACACAAAACGAAGCCGATTTACGGCGGCACCGACTGGGGGCATCAAATCCCGACCGGCCTCACGCGAGACGCACGAGCCGAGAGACGTACGTGCGAGTCACGTAATCCTTCGGATGGGATATAACCCAAATCCTCTTATTTTCATCTCCTCCCAAGAAAAACCTTGCCACCACACTTGTAAGCTAAGGCCATGTATTGTGCTGCGTTCTTGTGCACCGGTGCTTAAAGAGAGTATTGTTGCATCTCAAAGAAATTTTGTCACATAGCTTCAAAAAAAAAAAGAAATTTTGTCACACGATGGAGAGTGCTTCGGATCGGTGCTTAGTTGCTTTAAACCTGTCACACTCGTGACGGACGGAGAGCAGTTATCTCCCTAAGCATCGGCTGGCACCGGAAGCCAAAGTTTGTTTCTGTCCCACTTCTAAGCATCTGTGTAAGCACTTGCAGAGAAAAAAAAGAGTTTTCTCTGAGGCACCAGTGTAAACACCTGCGTTGTACAAGGCCTAACAAGTGCACACGCACTTTTCACTTTTCCGACGCACACAGGCTCTCACATGCAGCAGGAAAATTAGCGTGGTATCACATATAAAAAATATATGATGTTAGTGACATATTGCGATGTAGTCAAATTTAAAAAATAAATTAATTTTGAGCCGAGCACTCAAATCAAAATTTGTCTTCACCGTTATGCTCCTCGTAACAAGGTCTTCAAAACCAGATTCAATATTGATGTATCCCTACATATATTTTTTGAAAAGCAACTTTGTCACATGAGATTGTGGTACAAATATGCTTTTCCATGTCGGCCCCATTAGTTAAGAATTGCTTGGACTAAAAGCTCAAGCTAACTTTTAGTATATAGTTGAATGCATCTCATTAAAACGGTCTTTGAAATCCACATGTTTCAATTTTCGAAGGGCAATGGTATTTTCTTTAATACAAATTTTAGAGTGGTTGGGCTTTTTTAGAACCGTTCGTTGATGTCGATCTAACGGCAGACAAATACGAAGTACTGGGTAGTACTCCGATGAAAGTACGTGAAAATACTAAAACGAGTGGGGCCGGTACTCGTGACAAGGTGGGGACGCGTTTTAATCTAGGGGCAGTTTAGTCCTAGGAAAATTTGCACGCGCCGCCCCTGGTGCCGGTACTCGTGACAATGTGGGGACGCGTTTTAATCTAGGGGCAGTTTAGTCCTAGGAAAATTTGCACGCGCCGCCCCTCTCGTCGAATGCATAACCGCCGCCATGGTGCTACACATTCCACAATTACTCATCGGCGGCCATCTCCTCCCTCTCCTCCAAGTCCACCGCAGTCATCTCCTCCTTCTTGCCGCTGCAACTTCGCTCCACTCAGGCAACCCCCCCACCCACCCCCACCCCCTCTTCCACGGCAGAT